ATGGTCCCCCCCCCCCCGATGGAAACAGCCAATCACAGCCTGGAAATGGAGAAGTGCCAGATTGCATCGGAAAGAGATAAAGGTACCTTCCCAAAAGATATACTGTTCTGAGTCTGAGTACTGCAATGGAAAAGACGTTAACAGATACACTGTTCTGAGTCTGAGTCCTGTTACCAGGAAGACAGCAACAGAAACAACCCATTCTGAGTCTCTTGCCTGCAAGGGTGAGACAATAGCAGATCAACCTCCATTCTGAGTCCGAGTCCTGTCAAGGAAAGGACTGCAACAGATCACCAACTTTCTGAACCTCTGGCCCGTGAGGGAAGAGGCAATAACAGATACCAAGTCCTGAGTCTCCAGCTTCGAGGCAGCAACAGATATGACCACATTCTGAGCCTCCAGCCTGCGAGGAAAGAGATGATTTACGTTCAGACTTCATTCAGTCTTCATCCAGCGAGACAACAACAGATGCAGCACGTCCTGAGTCTCCATCCTAGAGAGACAAAGCGGATCGACCAAGTTCTGAGTCTAGCCCAGAGAGGCAGAAGACACACAGACATCTGCAACAAGGTTAAGCTCCGGCGAGCAAACCTTCACTCCAAGGTACCTTTGCTTGCGTGTTCCAGACTAAGGACCTACTGCTCCAGGAGATCAGCATCCTCTAGGTACTTTCATCAGCGTGTTCCAGATTAAGGACCTTCTGCACCTACTCCAGGGCCACATCTGCGTGTTCCAGATTTTAGGACCCTTTGGTGCTCCAGGAGATCAGCATCCTCCAGTGCTTCGTGTTCAAGGCTGTCGAAACAGATTCCTGCTCCTTTCCCCACTGCATTGTTACCAGCATAACCAGTGGATGAAGTCACCGCCATCGGACTGCTAATTCAACCACAGAGAACGTAAATATCACTTATCCAAAACTCTTCCAGAGACATTGGTATTGTTAGATATTATCAGTATATGATTTTTCTCATTTACATTAGATATTATATAGCTGATTGCAGTTTATAGCAAATCTTTCATGTGTTTGTTTGATGCATAATAGGGATCTTTAACTTATTTCTTTCAGAGCAGCAACAGTTTGTCTTTCCAGATAACTTAGCTCTGACATTACAACACCCAACATAATCACTTGCATTTTATGCATCTTATGCACTTTATTCCTATTTCATTTATGGTATTCATTTAGTAGTTGTTGATTACTCTTGTCTATCTTTTGTTAATACAATCTATTTTATTACACTTGTGTCTTCGTTGTGTTGATGATACAGAAAGAGGTTCTACAATTTTGAGATCCCACCACTCTTTCTTATGTGATGTACTCATAACCACACCTTAAGTGACACGTGATCCAAATATCATAACGTCCTTGGTGACGCGAGTATCCATCACTACAGTATTTCGCCTCCCTAGGTTGTCAAAAGCAAAATTCACTACATGATATTGGAATATAATAGCAAAGAGCCCAAATTTTTTTCTTGTTATAATTGGAAGATCTGCAAGCACGTAGAACTCTGTAAACTCTGTGAAAACAATTAGTTCAGAGCAGATTATGACTAACCTACAGTAAACACCTCTGATCTGATTTGTGCATGATGCGTCGCTAAGGAAAAGTATGGACAAGTATAGATTATTTAATATTGCGTTCTTGTATAATTACCATTGCCACAATATATCACAAAAAAAGACAGACATTTCATGTACTCTTGGGGAACCCCTGATGGCCACGGGGCCC